TAAACAGGATCGAAGCCATTCAACGCTACGTGTTCTACCCTGGAGCAATGTGGGTAACTTACCGCCTTACGAAGAACGGTGCAGACTGATAGACCTGGATTCGTTGGGAGCAAGAAGGAAGCCACTTCAAAGGCTCTTAGTGTTTGGACTATTGTATGGTGACGTGGATTGCAGCTATTTTTTGAACCGAATCGACATTCTTGCACCACAAAGACAGATTCGTTACCACACACTGCTGTGGCAACCTCCCCCTTCGTACAAACTAATATTAGCAAGTGTACCTTTAATCTTAGGATCCGGCATTTAGACTTGATAATTATCTATACAGCTTTTTGTTGAAGATTTAAATAAATAAATTAAATTAAATTCCTTGAAACTATCCAGAGAATTCGACCCTTTATAAATTCTTCTCAAAACCTCAAAACAAACTCTAGAAAAAAACTCTTCTCAGAAATCCTAAAAAAATATCTTAGAATTCACCTCAGACATCCTTTGGAATTTTCTTAAAACTGTCCTATTAATTTATTTTTAGGATCCCTCCTTGAAGTTCTCCTCGCAACTCCCTCGGAGTTATTCTAAGAATAACATAGCAATTCAGTTTGAAAGTTTCACGCAAAGTCCGGCATCTTGAATTTTTAACTTTAAGGATCATGCACATTACATCCGAAAATTTAAAGCAAGTATGTCATGATTTTACATCGTGCATTTTCTGGGTAAAACACCATCACTGCATTTACTTACTTGTGTTCTTCGTAGCATTTCACAATTTCACGTAATCGAATACACAAAATTAATATAAACTGGAGGTCAAATCTCTTGGTGAACAAAATAAATCACCAAGAAAATCACTTCGACTTCACTTCTTTGTTAGCATTACTATCGAACAAGTTGCACAATATCGTAGGTGGTACGAATTCAAAACTTTAAAGAGCAAGACGGATATCTATTACTGGACAGATAGTAACTAGGAAATAATTACTATCTCCCAGATAAAGACATATTCCGCTCCAACAGTTAAGGATTGTCCTGGCCACGTCCTTACAACTTGTAGGGATAGGAAAGGTATGTTAGTCCAACATGTACTTAAGAGAAAAGCAGAGAACTCTACGACCCCTCATAAATGTCTCCTTAATGTCATCTATTAAATGGTACATAAAATGTTAATGGTCTCACCTTATAAATCCAATGTTTCCAGTAATCCCGTCCAGTTGGTTGCAAGCTAGTGGTATTGGAACGATCGTGGCATCTAAATACTCCTTTGAACAGGTGACGAATCATCTCAAGGATCGCACCAAGTTATTTCTGATATACCACTTTTACTTCATATCATACGCAGAACATCATCTACCGTACAACAGGAATATTCTCCGACTTTTCCGTTCCCGCAGGAGAAAAAACTTAACTTCCGATGGAATCAAAAGCAACGGAGAACTGAGTCACAGATCCAATGAGCGGAATACCGTTTATCGCACCTTACAGCGCGTAAATAAACTGAAATTAAAAATTATCACTCGCGGTGCCACAAATTTCTGGTCCGGGAGTAAAAAAATCAAACATCACAGATAGCGACATCTCTTCTGATGCTTCAATTGATGAATCACGTTTTCTTTCTCGATTCTAAAACTTCTCGGAAAGTGAGAAAACCACCACTCACACACGTATAACCGTCCGGGAGGCAGAGTGCCAGCGCTAATTCGGTAAATGCAGCCGAAAACTATGAAAGCGAACGCACGAACAAAACAGAGAGCAAACTTAAAACACAACCGTATCCAAAGGGGTTCGAAACTGCACTCTTCGACTCTACTTCTTTGTTAGCGAACGTAAAAGAATCATTGAACAAGCATTGTCAGATGTATTACCTCTAGCAGTGAATATATGTTTAATAAAACATGGAAATACGAAGTTTAAACCAATAACGATCCACTCATCTAGGATGTTTTTAATGGTGAATAAATATCAACGTTCCAACGTTCAACTTAAACGTTCCAATTACAAAAGTAAAAAAAAATATTGAATTAAACACAAACAGAGGAGATGGCAGCATTGCATGCAGCCTGTTGTTGGCGTTATTGGCATTCCCGCTCAGGGGTGTAAGCAAAATGTCATACAGCGTAGTCTGGCAGTGTGAATGTTTTGTCTACGACATTATTATACACGTGCATGTGTGACGTCACATTTGCTGTTGTATTCTTCTTCATTCCTTTATTTAACGTCAGGTCTCTGTTCCGCAATCTAGTGCCAATCACCGACGGACATCGATTGCCATCCATTGACGGCAATCGAATGTGCAGGAAGGTAGCTTCCACACACTTGAATAGGATATCGCACCCATTCAACACACATGGGCCGGGACCAACGGCTTTACTTCCCTTCCGAAAGAAGACGTGACCAGAGATTTGTATGCCTCAGAAAAATCCCACCGACCTCGGCTGGGATTGAACCCAGACCCATTGGAGTGTTAGAAAGCAGTCACGCTTACCACTACACCACCGGCGCCGGCAATTTGCTATTGTATTGAGAAGTAAAAGAATAAAAGAGATGACAGGTTTTGCTCACCATACCACCACCATACTTTTTTGGCATGGCGACGCACGCTACCAACGAATTTTACCAATACTTCTAGAAAGTGATGATTTAGAAATACAATAAGAAGAAGCAAAAGCAAATCGAGTGATGGTTAGTTGCCTCTTAAAATCAATTTGCAATGTTTTAGAGCAATTAAATGCTAAAAAGACGGAACTGATGGCAATTATGCAGCAAAAGAATCAGTATTTCTTTTGGAAAATACTTGCTTTGTTTCACTAATTGTTGTTATCGGTATGTAGATTTTTCCGGTTCTTCCATTGAATTCCCGGTTTTTACAACGCCCAGGAAACGGAGGAAGAGGTAGAGGGGCTTTAGTACTTGAAAGTATCTTGGCCAGATGGCCGAGGAGAGCACCAGAGAACAAGCGAGTGAAAACCAAGTCCAGAAACAGCAGAAAAAAAAAATCAGTTTAAAGTCTGCTTCCGGAAGTACAGATTATTTTATGTCAGTAGTTTATTTGGCTAGTAGTCAGTTTATTTGGAAAGTGCTCCTCTTACAATTATGAATATTATGAGATAAACTAGCCAACTAGCTAAAAATCTCAATAATAAAGTTTTAAAAAATATTACGAATATTTCGTCACGATTCGTGAAGTTTTCAAATAGTTGTGCCTGATGAAAAACAAGAGAAGAAAATCCAACGTTTTCCGCTCCAAAAATCTTAAATGCATTCGGTCTCTAGTAACAACCAACGTCGAACTAATCATCCTTCCCTCCCCAGAAGACCGCGTGGTCGTTGTCCGGCGCTGTTATTGATCTGCAAATAGATTGAATTCATGTGCTGTTCTGATCAATCATGGAGGTGCAACTACGTCTTCCAGTTAAGTTTTTGCCCATACGATGGTGGCGCCATGCTGTCAGTAGTGGTGAGATCAAAACTGACAACATACAGTGATCCATTTATTTCTCTCTTATTGCATATTTCTCCTACTCGCTAGCCAACTAATTAATTAATTAAAATAAATCACTAGCATTAAGACGCACATGTCAAAGAACATTGATTTGCTGCAATAAATATGAAGAAAAAGAAAACTTATGAATATATCACTAACGCAGAGGAACACCGCCATGTCAAGATCGGCTCAACCTTGATGAACTTCTCCAAAAAGTGTTCAAAATTCAAATGGTACACTTCTCAAGGATGTTTATGCAAATTATTCTCATGACTTGCTTCGAATGTTTTCTAGGCCAACTCCTTAAGTAGGTGCTACATTGGTAGCTCTTTGTAACACTTTCCATCAAAGAACGCGATGTTTCTATTCAAATACCTATTTGACACAAATGTTCAGAATTTAGCGACAAAAAATAACCATGCGTTTCCACTGGCAATAAAAAAAACCCGTGCCCGTACAAAAATGGAGTTGCATGGTTGTTCTTCATTCACGATAGTGTGTTTACACATGGAAAGCCACCGCCACCGCCAGTGGACGTAAGTGCTAAGACTTTAATTGAAAAGTCACATTCCCTTTAAGAACGGAACAACATTCTGCACTCACTTTCCATCTCACTTCATCAGCCTACTATGTTCGTTGCGATTGCTATTGTTCCCTAGCTATTAACGGTCCCCTTCCGGCGATCACCGCTAATTATTTCCACTTCCCACACACACAATATCAACTCGGTTTTGTAGAGCTCCACAAGGAAGCAGTTGCAAAAAAAAAGAAAAGAAAAATAGCAAAGTTGCAGCAAGCAACTGCCATATAAATTATTACCCCACACGACGCAGCAACTCTCCATTGGGTCAGTCAGGTCAAAATGGCCATTCCTCGCCGAAGACGACGACCGTTGCCGGTTGGGTAACATTCCTCCTGGACGGTACAACAGTGCAGTGACATAGTTGTGTTCCCATTTCTTCCGCAAAAATATATGACCATTATTTAGTACCTCCATGGTGCACTAAATCCCTGCAACTCGCGACTCACCTGCCTTACGGCATGTTTGAAACAAAGTCCCGCGAGAAGGCGGACTTTCAATTGACATCGATCGCATTTCGCCGATGACGTAAATTCAAAACAAAAACAACTGAAATACAAGGAGCAGGTTCTGGTTTGGTAGCTCTTATCAAGAGTTTCGAACCGAAGAAAATGAGCGTGCCACCAACTCGAAGAGCGCGTCATTGTTTCGCTATTACTATTGTTCATATTCAATTACCCTCCAATTACGGCGATTTGGGTGTTTGGTTTCGTGTGCTCGATACCCGAAGATTGCGTGCGATAGGTAAACCTATAGCTTTTCCAGCTCAAGGTCGATCGGGGAAGCTGTTTCGCCTTTTCCGGCAACATGAAAATGTTGGCGTGTGTGGCCCAACTCGCCGACAATTATAAAAACTCACCAACAATCAATTTACTAATATATTCCTTTTCGCAAATCTCTTCCATCACGACAATTCGATTCGTTTCGGTTCGATATTCACAGCCTGCTAGTTATGGTAAGAAAAACGGCGTTTGGTACGCATCGCCCGGCAACCAGGGCTGGGGCACCGGAAGTCGCCTGAGCCGCAAGCCCTCCGTGACCGAAGTGGACAGCATGCCGTCCGGCAGTCTGAAGCCGAGCGCCGGACGGGTGATTCGGATTATCAACAGTCACGATCATAGTGTTCAGGTGAGTATCGATATTTCAGGTTCGCAATTCTCGATTACTTTTTCAAAGGGACGTATCTGCTTCTGTAGAATCAAAGATTCAAACGTCAGTTTGTCGAAACTGTTAGAAAGCCAACGCAGCTAACGCCACCATCAGAAAGGGTAATGCTTTCCCAGTGGCGTTTCCTTAACCTCAATTTACCTGTGCACCAACTTTCAAAACGTAAACAATTATCAAAATATTCCTTGCAATGGATAGATATCGAGTAAACTAGAAGATAAAGTGTATTTTCCAACCGATTCGAGTATGAATATTTCATTAAATCTGAAAGTTGGAAAGTTGGTGCACAAGTAAAAAATGAGGTTACGGGACACCAGGCAACATTGGTGTACTTGGCAGTGCTGCAAAAAAGCTTACTGCATTTTCGCAACAAAGAAAAAAAATGAATCGCTTCATTCCGAGTAAGTATCTTCGAAAACGTTTCTGTCGGGAACGGCTGGAACCCATGTTCAGGGTTGGGGGAATATGGATTCCCAGTCGAAAACGTCTGCAGTCATTTTTGGAAGCGTCTGCAACCTTCGTTGGAAACGTTTGGAATCTCGAATCTAGGAGTCTGAGGGAGTCTCGAATCTATGTCGGGAACGATTGAAATCTCCATCTAGAACGTCTAGAATCTCCGCCGAAAATGTTCGGAATCTCCATCGAGAATGTCGGGATCCTCCATCGGGAACTTCTGAAATCTTCGTCGAATCTTCATCATCCAGCACTAGTACGAGCACCTCGGCACAGGAGTGGAACTTCGGATCAGAAAGTGGCTCCACTTGTCATTTGTGAACACTAGCGCACCTAGCGGTAGAAGGCATCTTCTGCCTGCAGTTAAGATAGACAGCATCCTATGATAGTGTGAGTGCACATAGAAAGCCCGTGTGGAACGCTACAACAATACGCTTGTTGAGCAGAAAAATGAACCACCTTTTGATTCACCGATTTGTTTGCACTTCCCCTTCTGTTCTGTGACCTCGGGTAATGAAGAGGAAGGTGTCGTGCGGTGCTCACTGGATCCGGAATTCCAAGGTCTTGGTACTCCTCCGCACAGACACCTAGACGTCACTTGGCGGAAGGCCATCAGAGCAAAAACACAAAACAAACAGTGAGCTGAGGTTCGCAAATGGTTCCAGATTGAGCTGTGTTCCCTCCGATGGACCTAGCAGGAGAATGATTCACTCTCACCGATTAGTAGAATAGTCACTGAACCATCTCCAGCCGGGTTCGACTCATTCTTTCCGGCATATTATTTTGCTACAGTGCCAGTGTAAGGACAAAACTGGTCACTAAGGCATACTCGTCAATTTCTGGTTCGAAGAATCTTAATCTTGAATTTCACTAACCGAATCTTCGTAGCTTGCATAGGAGCTCAATGTTCGTTGCTAAACCGGAGTCTTGAAAAGCATTGGCAAGTTTCTTTTAAGCTGCTATTGCGTCGGCTGCAACCTGGACCAGACTATAATTATAGCATTGCAGGCTTCTACAAATCGATCACCTCACCCGTAGGTCTACTTTCACGGCCACGAGCCTACCGCAGGAGATGGCTTGACTGCACTCCAACTTCCTGCGCGGATCAAGATCATCTGCAGCAGGAATGCCGGAGAAGAATATTTTTGACAGATGTTCAACTTTTCTACAGCTGATAGTCGTTACTCAAATGCATCCTGGTTCAGTTCAACTTTCGTTCCCATCGCTTTGTTGAGATCCGCATCTTGTCCAGCGTAAGAAAGCTTGATCTATAGGTTAGGTCCTGAGCCTTTAATCTCTAGCAGAGTTGAAAGAAAAGTGGGCTTTAGGTTTGAAGTAGCAATATTAGGGACACCTACCTACACCTGCGAAGAATTCTGGAGGTGCAACGAACAATTTCAGTGGTACGAAAGGCCAAATTCATGAGCTTTTTTCATTGGTAGCTTTGACAGTGATTTTATCAATAAGGAGTCTTGGGAAGAGTTTTTGCAAATGACAAGACCCAATAAAGTTGTTTTAGTACGGAATTTCACCACAGGTGGCGCTGCTAAGTTTTACTCTTTAGTTTGACTAGATAGAGGTGCGGTGTGTTTAACAAAGCTGTAGGTTATTTCATAGTTAAAAGCTTTGCTAAAGATACCATGTCTATATCGGCTCGCGTCTTTTAGATATAAGGCGTTATTTATGGAAGGTCCTCTAAAATAAGTTTTTTACATGTATTTCCAAAAATGTTAGTTTTAGAGGGCTATAATGTTAAGCAATTTTTTACAAATCCTAAAAGTACACAACTTTGCCCTGGACCATAGGGTACTATTGATAAAACTGTAACAGTTATTGGCAATATAAGTCCAAAAAGTTTAAGCACCCACAGACTTCAAAGGGGCAAAGGGGGGCAGACGGATTCTAAAAATAATGAAAGTATATTGAAAATACTATAATTTCTCCCTCAACCTAACCCCTAACATCAATCTACCTGTTCAACAACTCACGAAAATAAAAATTTGTTGCTGTAAATCGATACAAATTAATGAAACTACAATACCTTATGCATTTTGGGACCGATATATAGTTATGGCTCTAAATCACGTTTTCAAAGTCGTTGAACAGGTAAAAAGTGAAGTTACGAGACGCCGCTGAGTTTAGCTCCTACCAAACTGCCGAATCAGTTCATCGTGATCCTTTACCAATAATCTTTCAGTAATTTACCGGATTAGCGTCTGGGATGAAACAGATTCGCCAGGGTGGTCAAAATCTCCTTTGCCCCTATCAGATCCAACAGGTCATCGTGGATGAAGACAATGTTTGGAAGTCACCTTGCCATCGTTTCAAAAAAAAATCCTAAAGTGGCTCCTTAAAAACCTATGAAATCTATCCACGAAGATCATCTCAAAATGGCCAAAACGCCCGTCTAAGAATGCAGAATAGCTTCCCGAGTTGAAGAAAACCGTTCGCGTGTCCACGCCACGCGAGCCAGCAGCTGCCTCTCCGTGTACAACAAAGAAAAATGTGGTCATGTGCAGAACCGGAAGCATTTCATCAAGAAATTTACATGTCGACGCGTCTCCTTATTAGCTATTCAAACAACTCCCTGCCGTTGGCCGGAGTGAGGGCACCTGACCGGTCCGGTCGGTGGATTGCAATGCAAAGTAGACCAAACAGCAGCGATTATGTATTGTTCGCATACATACCGAATATCGATTAATTGTGCTCCTGCACGTTTCGCACGCTCTCGTGCACTGCTGCTGTGAGGCTTTCTTCACAAAGTTTTCGGCGACTGTCAACTCGTCAACCGTCGTTTGATTGATTAATGACCACATTTGAAAGGCGCCAATTGGCGTGTCTGGTGGCTCCACGTGGGACACTCTACGGGACTCGTCCGCGCGGCAACCTTGAGCTGTCAGCTCAAGGCAACCGAACCAAACACACCCCACATATACGGGAAGTCAGTCGGAAAGTTACGAGCCCCCGGCGGAAGAAGCAAGACAATAAATAAAACGCTTACGTTGCTTCTATGGAGGGGATGGGGTTGTTCACACGACCAGCGGGTTTCGAGTTTCAAATCGATGGGAAATGCATAATGCATTTGCCATATGTGCATTTTCATTCTCAGCTGGAAAAGCGCAGTTTATCCTTTCTCGAGATTTCTAGGGTGCATTGGGAGATTGTCGGCATTAATTTGAAACACTTTTTTTCTCGCATTCCAGTGCCGCGTACTGCTAAATCTCCGTACATCGCAACCCTTCGAGGAGGTCCTGGAGGACCTCGGTCAAGTGTTGAAGATGATCGGCGCCAAAAAGATGTATACCAGCAGCGGTCAGGAGGTGCGCAGTTTCTCCCAGCTGCGCAACGAATTCGCCGAGGTCGACACCTTCTACCTGAGCAATACCCCTTCGCTTCCGGTCGGTGCCCTCGGGCCGGGTGTAGTGATTCCGCCTTCGCCGGCGCGACGCTCCCGCTCCCGGCTGGGTGGTTCCGTTCCGGATGACCTATCGAAAACGGCTCGGCAGCGAGCACGCAGCAAAAGCAGACCCCGGGTGCTGTACGCGCCGGAAAACGAACTGGTACGGGCGTCGTCCGATTACCCCCTGCTGGACTCCATGAAAGAGGAACCCACCCGCATTACCATCAGAGGACTGCGGCGTACCTTCTATCCCCCGATGCACCATCCACCGGTGGATAATTCACCGCCGGATAAGAAGCTCTCGCTGTTCTGGGTGTAAGTATTGGCTCTTTGGGGTAATCAAAAATGATGGCAGGTTATCTGATTAATGCGCTTCGCTCTTCCACAGGCATGGTTATCGCGGCATCGACTCAAAACGAAATCTCTGGGTACTGCCATCGGGTGAGCTCCTGTACTACGTTGCGGCTGTTGCCATTCTGTACGATCGGGAAGAGGAAGCACAGCGGCACTACACCGGACACACGGAGGATATCATGTGGTAAGTGAATGATGAGTGGTCGACTTGTGCTTTTTGTTATTGTGCCATGCTGGAGGGGACATTGAGCCTGGTCGCCAGTGTAATGTTGATGACCAATTATATAAACCTTCCATGATTGCTGAAATAGATAATGATGAGATGGCTCTTAGATAATGACTTATGCGCGAGTCGATTGAAATCAACCGAATATTAAATAAGGGTTAAGTTGATCCTTAACATGGAATCGTAAATGCATAGGTGAAGGATATGAGAAAGGAGAGGCAAAGGTTTTGAAATGCAGAATTAGATGTCGTCGAGATTGAATGCGCGTTGATCCAGGTACCTATCGTATAAATTTGCATATCATCTAGTTATGATTATTGTCAAAAATACTTACATTTCGATAAAGATGATGCTACCTATTCTACCTTTTATGTGATTATCATCACAGAATCCAAATTTGAATCGTACATCAGGTTCATTAACAATACACTCGTTCCGAGAAGGGGCTCATGGTCATCTTCTTCTTGTTCAGGTTCCGTCACCACCCGGAATGAACGCTCGGTGCGGTTAGTGTTACATGCAAACGAAAAAGAGATCCAACCAGGATTAGTTTTTTAAAGTAAAAGCTTCATCTGAATACCCAACTAACCATATCTCAGTGACATTGTCTAACTCTGAACATACATTAAAAGTTATTTTGTGATGATATGGTTACTTTGGTACTCACATGAAATGTTGTGCAAGTACCACAAGTTCAACAACGTCCAACTATGGGCAGCTCAATGTTAATACCATTTACTCTTTGAATCAGCGTACACCAACATGATAATCTGCAAAGAAACACCTAAGAATGTATAGAGATAAAGCTCAAAATACAGTTTTAACTGATGGTACTTTATAAACATCAGACTGTACGAAGAGCATGGAAATCGGAAGTGGTTATCACAATAGGGGGGACCTTTTCCTTCTTGGCATTAAGCCGGGAATGTTTGATGGAATTTTGACTGGATGACGGATCATTCTCATCATCCGTGAGCATATCAAATGGATTGCTCAAATAAATTCCATCCGAAGGGGGATCAAGAGATTGCCCTTTTCATTTGCGCTTAGCCGCCATGGAAACAGAAGAAAGTCTCTGCAAATCGACTTTCAAGCAGATTACTATAAGAATTTGGAGGATCGAAGAAGAATTTTCCGAATCGATATCCAAGAGGGTCCAAAGAAGGATCGAAGAGGTATAAGAATAGAACAAGGTAGACAATTTGCGGGTAATATTTAGCACTGAAAAGTGCTGTTTAAATTTGTTTGTAGCTTTAGGTAGCAGTAACACCATAGAGGTAACTCTAAGACTAGAAGGTCCCGAAATAACGTGCTCAACTTTTTGGCTCAGTTCTGGTACTCTCTTCGGTCCCAAGCTAATCGATTCACCCATCGAAAATCCACTAACCCCTCATTTTATCTGTCAAACTTTCATAGCGAATCAAAACAAACATTGTGTAGTAGTAGAATTTCGACTAGAATGGGGTACGTTAATCGTTTGCTTGGGACCAATAGGCTAGACAAGTAGTGAGCCAATTTAAAATCGTTAGTTTCGTATTGATTGTTGGTAACACTTTCTTCGGCAAGAGAGCACGATGCGAATTGTGAAGTGTGATTTCTACAAAAGCTGGTCATGCGGCATATACAATTTTATTAGACACCCTACCATTTGAGCAGAGTGGCAATGGCCTCTCAATTTCCCTGGAATAGATACCGGAAATCCAGGAGGCCAATCTTCGATTTCTACAAAACCTGATCATGCGGCATATCAAAATTGTCAGAATTTTATAGACATGTCATTAGCTTCCATGTCTATTGAACAGGGTGACAATGGCCACCCAATGACTTTGGAACAGGTTTCGGAAGCCCCGGATGATGTGACAAATTTCTGATTTCTACAAAAACTGACCATGTGGCATATCAAAATTTTCAGAAAGCTGTAGATGTAAGATTCTAGATGTAAACAATGACTTATCTCGATGATTTCTAGAAAGTCAAGGCTCGCCCTCGCAAACCAACATCCTCATCGGGTAGGGGAAGATTTCTCCTATCCGATGGTTATGTTAGTTAGGGTGGGCGTGCCTTGAATTCCTAGATTTTAACAATGGCAAGAACTCATTAGACATCCTACCAATTGAGCAGACAGACAAAGGCAACCCTATGTCCCTGGAATAGGTTCCGGGTGCCATGGAGAAAGTGGTCAATCTCTGATTTAACAAAAACTAGTCATTAATAGCCATGCCAATCGAGTAGAGTGACAATGGCCTCCCAATGGCTCTGGAACAGGTTCCGGAATATCGAAATATTCAATATTTTATGGGCATGTCATAAGAGCTAATGGCAATTGAGCAAAGTTGGAGGAGGTGGCCAATCTCTGGCTTCAACTAGTCATGCAGCATACCGAAATTTTCAGAAATTTGTAGACCTTTCGGGTTTCTGAAACCTGTTCCAGGGACATTGGGTGAAAATTGTCGCTCTGTTTAATTGGTATAGTGTCTTATGAATTGTCTACAAATTACTGACGAAAGCCTGGCAAAAACGAATTTGAAATTGCTAGGGACATCTCCTGGACCGGGAGGCTGCCCATAATCCATCTTCACGTACGTTTCGTCGAACAAGAGGATGCATCCTTCGTACTTTGTAAAAAGCTCATTGTACAACTTCTAGGCACGTCTTTGGGCCCTAGATTCTGCTTCAGTGTCTTGTTTGGTTGCTTACTGGTCCGAAAAAATCGAAATTCTTCTCGCTGACGAATCCTTCTGACGGTGCTTTGGCTGGCATCGAATTTCTTGGCGATATCATAATCCGACAGCCCTGGGTTTGCCCTAACCATTCTCAACACCTTCAAATGCAGCTTCCGATCCTTAGTTCCAATACGACGCTTGCTATGATCCTGCCGATCGATAGAGAGTGTGAGAACACTGCACATGGTCGATTTAGGTGTAGGTGTCCAAAAATTGATTTTCGGTTCGCGGCTTCCAGCAAATTTAACTTTTTTTTAGACAAAATTAATCGTTACGCTGTCAAAACATTCCAAACCCGCCGCTAGAAGCACTGCAGTAAAATAAACAGTGCGTCCAGATATTAAAACACTAAACCTTTAGTCACTCTATTGAATTGACATGGCCTCTACTGACATGGTCATGAACTTCTGAAAATCTTTTGTAGTAATCGAAGATTAGCCACATCCTCTGGGACTTCCGGAACCTGCTTCAGGAACATTGGGTGGCCATTGTCACTCTACTCAATTGGCATGGTTAAGACATGTTCATACAATTCTGAAAATTTTGATATGCTACATGCCTAGTTTTGGTTTTTTTTTAAGATTGGCCACTTTCTCCGAGGCCTCCGAAATCTGTTCCACATTTGGCAACACAATGTTGTCACTATGTTTGTTGTCACTATGTTTATTTGGCAGCGTGTCAAATGAATTGTCTATGCATATTTGTTCATTTGTATATGCCACACGACTAGTTTTAGTTGAATTTAATTATTGACCACTTCGTTCGGGATTTCCGGAACCTGTTCCTGGGACAATGGATGGTCGATTCTAAAATTTGTATACGTCACTTTTCAATTATTTGCTATCTTATTGTTTGAGCTTTGTAATGAGAATCGGTCCTTTTACGGTGGGAAAAATCGTCGTTAAGCCTTTCTGGCGATTCTTGGTGAGTTTTGGCGTTTTTCAATCCATTATTTTTCTATGCTTACCTTGCGTTTTAGAGCCATTTTTTCCGGTCTACTTGGTTCCAGGTCATTTCGGCGTTTCTAATGTTATTTTTTATATTTTATCATTTAGTCATTTCAGAGTCTTTTTACCGTTTGTATGTCACTTTTACCGGTTTTAGGGCCACTCTGATTCTCAACCATTTTGGCGTATATTAGGCGATTTTTATATTTTATAGAAAATTTTGACGTTTTATAGTTATAGTAGTTTATAGATTCTTAGTCATTTTCGGTGTTATGGGGTCATGAATTTATGTAATTTATCAAAGTGGGTCGCAATTAACAATCGTTTGATAACTGCTGAAATAGATCAAATCTCATGCGTTTTAATAAACTCTAGCATTTCTCGATTACTTTTTCGAAGGGACGTATCAGCTCTTGTAAACAATGCATTTGATCATCGATTTGGCGTAACTGGTAGCTCGCCCATGCATGCTAACACCTAATAGTGGTGACAGTATGCGTGGGCGAGCTACCAGTTGCGTCAAACCGACGATCAAATGCATTGTTAACAAAAGCAGATACGTCCCTTCGAAAAAGTAATCGAGATTTGTGATTAAATTGAATGTCTACCGCAAACCTATTATGATCCAGAAGCATTCAAGGGTCAGAATAGGATGCATATTCTGAATCAACTACTCAGAACTTCCGCGAAAGGATTCTTGAGCCCGATGTTACAGTTTATTGACTAACTCTGGATTCTTCTTTAAATCATGGAACGAAAACAAATCAATAATTCGATACTTCTCTATAACTCGATGGTCCCTTCACGAACGAGTTTGTGGAGAGTTAAATGTGTATATCCATAAACTATCATCGCTTTAAACAATTCTTTCACTCTTTCCTCAATCTCAGTATGGAAGTGCACCCGTCCCGGGAACTGGTTGGTTCCGGTCAGCGTGCCGGTCGCGACCGCAAATCGCAAGCCCACGTCCGCATCTGGAGCACGGAATCCCTTCAAACGTTGTACGTGTTCGGGATGGGCGAGCTGGACACGGGCGTCCTCGCAGTGGCCTTCTCGCAGCTCAACGGCGGCAGCTACATCCTGGCGGTGGACGCTGGCCGCGAGAGTATACTTTCCGTGTGGCAGTGGCAGTGGGGACATTTGCTCGGCAAGGTGGCGGTAAGTATCGTTGAGTAGAGATCAAGTTTATTCGAAGATTATGAGCGATACGATTCGACGGTCTGTGCTGGTCCTTTGGTTCAATCGCTTTTCGTGGACGATCTCCCTAAAACAGCTTCAAAGATGTACTGAAATGAATTACTCATTATAATAAGTATCTTCAGAACACAAATCTATTTAAAGAAAATAAGAGCTACGACTTGACTCTCTTTTTATGCGATTGCGGTTGACCCAGTTCCTAATTAGAAGTTTACGAATTACAATGTTTATTCCGGTGTTCGCTTAAAATGAGTCTTGATGGCTACAACTAATGGCCAAAGTTTTCATCGACCGCAAAACATTCCCCGAAAAAAAAAGAAGAAACAATTTGCACTTTGCAACGCCCGGCTGTCATGCAATGGCGCAACAAAACATACACACCAAAAGCCGGAAGTGCTTCAAACTTTCACGTTTCGTTCACCTTTCCCCCTTCTAATTTGCTTTGCTGATGATGGCAATGATGGTTACGGGTGTAATTCCAACGAAAACAAATAGGAAATGGGGTGGTGAACCGAAGTGAGAAGATAGGACGTTAATTTATGTCTATGTGTTAATTTTCGCTTCCTTCCGGCACCGGCTCACGGCATTCCCTCCTCTGGCGATGGACGATGACGAGTGCAGACACTGCAAGAGGGCATCTGGGGCGCGACATTCCATCCGCTGGACGACAATCTATTGATCACACACGGCAAAGGCCATCTGGCGTTCTGGCACCGTCGGAAGGATGGGTTCTTCGAGAAGACAGACATTATCAAACCGGTAAGAGGATTGAGGTTATGTTTTTTTTTTATTAGAAACAGAACTCATTCCATTACTTTTGTTCCGTTGCAGCCATCGAGAACTTTTGTGACATGTGTTCAGTTCGAACCGGACGGTGACGTAATCACTGCGGATAACGACGGTTTCATCACGATCTACAGCGTCGACGCCGATGGGGCGTACTTTGTGCGGATGGAGTTTGAGGCTCACAGTAAGGCCATTTCCTGTCTGGTGATGCTGTCGGAGGGGACGCTCATTTCTGGAGGCGAGAAGGATCGGAAGATCGCAGCGTGGGATTCGTTACAGAACTACAAACGAATTACGGACATCAAGGTGAGTTGCTTTGGTGGGTTTGTTGGGGTACCTAACCTTAATGAAAACTTTGTTCCCAACAGCTACCGGAATCAGCCGGAGGAGTTCGCACGATCTACCCGCAACGACCGGGTCGAAATGATGGAAACATATACGTTGGTACTACGAGGAACAATATTCTGGAAGGATCGCTACAGCGCCGGTTCAATCAGGTCATCTTTGGCCACGGCAAGCAGCTGTGGGCATTGGCAGCACATCCCGACGACGAGGTGTTTGCAACGGGAGGTCACGATAAATACGTAGCGCTATGGCGGCGCCACAAGCTCATCTGGACTTCGTCGGTGGGCTACGAGATCATTTCGTTGGCGTTCCATCCATACGGTGCGGCTCTGGCCGCCGGAAGCTCGGAAGGACATCTGGTGGTGATCAATGCGGAGAACGGAGCGACCATGCTGACGATTCGCGTCTGCGGATCGCCACTCAACTCCGTGCAGTTCAATCAAGGTATAGTAGCGAGATAGGTATATCAAAGAGTCTCACTCACAATTTCGCTATTTCCCAGTGGGTGACATGATCGCCATCGGTTCGCAAAACGGCAGCATCTACCTGTTCCGGGTATCGCGAGATGGGTTCTCGTACAAGAAGATCAACAAGATCCGGGGTTCGCAACCGCTGACCCACCTGGATTGGAGTTCCGAAGGCAACTTCCTCCAATCGGTAACGGTCGATTTTGATCTGCTCTTCTGGGACGTGAAATCCCTCTCGCCGGAGAAGAGTCCCATCGCCATGAAGGACGTCAAGTGGGCGACCAACAACAGTACGGTCGGTTTCCTAGTGGCCGGCATGTGGAACAACCGCTACTATGCCACACCGGCCAACACCATCATAACGACGGCTTCCCGAACGATCGTACAGGATCTGATCGTCAGCGGCGATGGCGACGGGTACCTGCGCCTCTTCCGCTACCCGTGCATTACGCCCCGGGCCGAGTTCACCGAAGCCAAGGTCTATTCCGGAACGTTGGCGTGCGTGAAATTCCTGCACGGCAACCACAGTCTGGTCACGGTCGGTGGCACCGACGCATCCCTCATGATCTGGGAACTCACCGAAGAATAGCCACTGTGGCCTCCGTGGCGTTCAGGTGCCGCGCCACAGTCCGCCTCTCCAGGTAATCTTCCTAACACTAGGCTAGTAGCAAAACATCATCAAAAAGTAAACCCAAAAGCCCCCAAAACTCACATCACCGCCACCTCACCGATAATCAGTCAAAATCCTCTCAGTAACGAATCAAACGCTAGCAATAATCCTAATCCAAATCAACCACCTCCAATCCAACAACAACAACTACTACTACTACATCCACAACCACTACCACAACAAACAACAGCGGACGATCAGCGGCCGAGCCAATTGGGAAACACAGCGGAAACTGCAAACGGTACAGCTGATCAATGGGTATTTATGCAATAAGAAAACAAAACCAGTTCCTTACCAAACCACAGTACCACAGAAACTAAAATTTCCTCATCCTTACGTTTGACCCCAGAATAATCGCAAAACAATCAGTCCAGTTATTTAAGCATTATTTTGGTGTAGATTTCCTGCTATGCTACTCTATTTACTGTAGGCTGGATTTAAACCAGTAGATTGAATGGAAATACCGTGCGGGACCGAAATCCGTACACCTAGGCACAAGCTCAGCTTTAATGCTCAACATAATGTTATTACTTATCTTACAATATGTTTTGTATCGCACTTACTTCCTATAGTTTTTCCTATTTTTCTTAGTTATTTGAGATCACTAAAACTTAGGCTGTGTTCCATTTAAGGAATTTCTAATTAAATGTGACAGATGGAAAATTTTCAAATAAACCTGCTATTGTACCTGACTTATTTCTGACAGGCAAGGAGCCATTTTTGAAGCACATCTTCTCGAAAATTAGCCGATCGACAACAAAGGGATTTTCGAACATCTTAATTTATTTCCGAAGTATCAAATTAAAGAGAAAATTCACCTAATGGAACACACACGGCCAATCAGCTATGCGTTCCTGCAGGTTTTCCCAAATTTGAGTAATAGGGGAAATGGCTCTAATGTTGGCCTTTGGATCTAAGATTGGGCCCATAGCTAAAAATCTGCTATTTATCAATTTTATCTAGTTGAACGCGTCATTGGAACGGTACTAATGGATATTTTTGGTCGTTATTGAAAATTTAGTCGATTGCTGAATTTATGTATGGGCCCAAATTAGGGACATTTAGGCCGACATTACATTCATTTCCCCTATTCGTATGGATAGAAAATGCTCTGAGTCAATTGAATTCAGTCGCTGAGTCGTTCTGATTGGCCGTGTATAGCAGGTTTATGTTTAAAAAATTAGTGAAAATACACCAAATGGAACACAGCCTTAGAACAACTCACTATTGGAACTATTAGAAAAATATGTTTTAAATGTATGGCTCTTGAATCAAAATCCGTACACTTATAAATCAAAATCCGTACACTATTGGGGAGGTTGTTGTAGAGATGTAAGACACACAATGTATAGCAAAAAGCAGAGGCGGAATGTGCTGTCAAATCGGCCTACTGAATAGCCATCAATGAGATGTAAATGTTTAAGGCTCAGTTAACTTGTCATCTCTTTCCTTCTCCCGCTGTTTAAACGGTTAAAGGTCACATTCCGTCATCCATTTAATCAGCCAGAGAACGAAACAGGCGACAAATTTACTGGGCCTCACTTGTCTACGCTCATTGATTTTCCATATGTGAATTTGGTTCCAAACATCAACAAACCATCGTTGCTTATGACTTTGTGTTTGGAACCAGTTATGCGAGGTAGGCGACGATTGTTCGTATTTTACAGTCACCTCCCTCCCAGCAAAAAACGTGAATAAAGCCCCAAGGGCAATGACAGCGGAAGCGGAAAAACCCGAAAAAGCCGGCGCACAATGTATAAGTTTTCAGGTTTTTTGACAGTTAGCCCATGCATTATCTGTCAAAAAACCCGAAAACGTATGCATTGACTTCAGTTAGGCATCTTTATGTCATTTGTGACAACTGTCAAACTTTCCGTTTCCGTTCCACTTCCGGTCACATTGCGTTTGGACATTAAGGCCTGTATAGAAATCGAAGCGAGGCAAAAATCTCATACAAAATAAATACCACTTTTTTTTTCACCTGTATGAAAACGCAATTGGCAAATATTTCACTTCGCTTTGAACTGTAAACAAATACGATCCAGCTAAACAAAGAGTTGACTTTTCGAGAAAGAGCGTATCTCTAGATAGAGCTGGAATAAGGGCGTAACAGCTTTTGTAAACAATTACTTCTCTCGATGATTTCTAGAAACTCAAGGCTCGCCCAAGCAAATCAATATCACCATCAGGCATGGAAAGTCTTCCCCTACCCGATGCCTGTGTTGGTTTGCATTGGCGCGCCTTGAATTCCTAGAAATATAATCGCCAATAGCCATTGTTTACAAAAGCTGTTAGGCCCTAACTCCAGCTCTATCTAGATCTGTCTTATTTTCACTTTACCGGAGGTGTAAACTGATCGATTTCGTTTCACATGAACTGTAAACTGCGAAAAAAGGAAACTGAAAAATGTTTCACAACCTTTTTCGCTAGCGAAATTTCATGATTTTTCGCGTGCTTCAAATTTCGTTTCGCTTCGATTTGGATACTAGGCTTTAAGAGTGGAGTAGGTTATATTTGAATTACATGCCTGCCTTTCGCCTAGAGAGGGTCTAGTATAAGAGAGGAGCGAACTGGCTGGTTTTGAGCCAAACGAACTGTCAAAGCCAGAGCCAATAGAGCAGCAACTATCTTGATTGCATTGGCAGTGTTGCTAGAATTCACCTAGGCAAGGGTACCAAGGCAGTTTGTGTTCAATCCGCTCCTCTCTTATACTAGACCCTCTCTACTTTCACTTACATGAAATCACGGCCAATGAGATCAACCCAAATTTGAGTTCAGTTTACTCATAATCGCAAAAAGTGCAGGAACTCAGCGATGTGTAAATTTGCCTCATGTTCTCCTGTGGAAAACCTCAAAAATCTGCTGGAATAGTACCAATGGACTGAGATAATCCAATCTTTGCTTTTCTCATATTCGGGATTTGCTGGGAAAACCTGGAACAACATGAGGCAAATTTACTCATCGCTGAGTTCCTGCACTTTTTGGCGATTTATGAGTAAACGGAACTCTAATTTGGGTTGATCTCATTGGCCGTGTAAGCATCTTCCGGTGTCCATTTAACGTTGGCCACTTCCATTTTCCGCTGAGTTGGTATTTTATAAAGGAGAATCATTAAATCATCACTGAACATGTGTACGGATTTAGGATCAACCGAAAAAATAGGATTAAAGTCCGAACAGTTATAATTTTGATAAATAAATGCACTCTGAACACTGAACTTAAAAATACGTTTTATAGTTGTTTGAGGCCTATTTTCTTAGCAAATTTCTAACGGAAACAACCAATTGACAATTACAACCGACACACAATTATATTTTCATTTGTATTACTGTTTATTTCATGACCTGCTGCCTAACTCTAGACGTAAATGTCATCCAGGTAAACAAAATAATTAAAAACTGTATATAGTTTTTGGATTCGAACTTCGGTCCCACACGGTAGTTGCCTGTCACGGCTAGTACAGTAGACTTTGAAGTAGGCTTTTATTATATATTCGTTGATGATTGGTTGTCATACTTTCAGTTCGTTCTGTCATTCTCTGCATGATCATAGACTCTTAATCTCTCTTAATTAATTTGGTTATTTATTAGTTTTGGAAATCAACCGGTTTGAGAAAAATGTTCAATGGACCGATGTCTCTTTGTCACCTTGGTAGTAATTTGCTTGGTAGTCATTAGAGATAGAGAGAGAGATCCGTCATAAAGCTATCGGATAATTTGCTATGGTCCACTTAAACTTTTTCCCAGGAGCATCCCTTCAGTCTTGTTCATTTTTAAACTCACATGACCAAATGATTTTGTTTGCACGTGGCGGTTAGTAGCGTGGCTTCATCTCTGTACTATTTCCCGAGCCCGAAATCAACGAGCTAACAGGTTTTTATCACATTGAGTGAGCAGTTCACGAATTTCCCGCGGGCTTCTAGGAAAACTAATAATTATTTATCTTCAACTACTCACATTCATTGGCTGTTGTGTCATAGAAGGCGTTCTCTACTGCTTTTTAATCGAGGTGGCAAACACCCGTCGCTACACAGTAACCGCAAAAAAAACACAAATCTTTGGCTATAAAGTACGCATTTGGGACTACCCATAAAATGATGAAAATTTTACGCATTTAAGAATAAAAGTTTTTTATTTATGAGTAACAGATACTCATAAAAGTTGTAAACAATTCAAAAATTTCAGGGGTAGTCCCGTTTTCTATCGAATATGCATACTTTATGTTGGGAACTTATACACGGCGAATGAGAACGACCCAAATTTGAGTTTAGTTCACTCATAATCGCCAAAAGTGCAGGAACGCAGCGATGAGTTAAATTTGTCTCATGGTTTCCTGTGGAAAACCTAAAAAATCTGCCGGAAAATGAGGAAATTGACGAAAATTTTATTCAGTCTCGGATTAGTACCAATAGAGTGAGTGAATCCAATCTTTACTTTTCTCAAATTCGGGATTTTTTCCCTGGAAAAACTTGGGAAAACATGAGGCAAATTTACCCATCGCTGAGTTCCTGCACTTTTGGCGATTATGAGTGAACTAAACTCAAATTTGGGTCGTTCTCATTCGCCGTGTAGTCATAATTGAGCCCTTTATTTGTTTATTTGGTTCATCAACAGATTGGGTTTAGTCATTATGATGGATTAAGCAATACTAGGAAATACAATATAGTCAAGAAGTAACAAGCTGCAAAGGCCGTGAAGTCCAACTTAATTCCTAATTCTTAAAAATATATCACGGAATCTCTGACGCATTTATAGCGCCATACGAACTATAGTTTGTACGACGAAAAGGTATCCTCAGCATTGCGTGCTCGTGGTTGAACGTTAACGTCGATTTGTTGTAGAATAGAAGGACAATCGATTCTGCCCTGTAGAATGTCTGCCAAAAACAGGGCCCTTGTCGTATCTCTTCGACTCCACAAAGGATCCAGGTGAATTAACTGGCACCGACTTTCGTAGCATGGAAGGCGATGAGGATCCCTCCAAGGACAAACCAGATGAATCGTCGTTGAATAGACTCTACTCTTTGTACACTGTTTTGATAATTGGGATTCCATACAGGGCAGCAGTATTCTAACACCGACCGGACGAGGGAGCAGTAAAGCGACTTTAAACAGTAGATGTCCGTGAAACTTTTAGCTA